TATCAGTACACAAAGATCTAGTCCATTCTCTTTAGTGGCTGCATGGAACTTTTTAAAATTTGTGTTCTCCTCCCCCTACCATATAACATCTTATTTTACACTTGATCTTAACCAAAAGGCCGAGAAGCGAGTATAACATCTTATTTTGAAAGAATTCAAACTTACAGGAAAATTTAAAGAACAATTTAATTAACATCCACTTATATACTTACCTTTGTTTCTTCCTTTATCTCTCTTTCCTTTTTAGGCTAAATCATTTGAAAGTAAAATTGTAGTTATTATAGTTTTCCAAAATTATTCAGTATGTGTGTCTTAAGGACTAAGACATTAACTTACATAATCATACCTTTATATGTAATATAAAGGTATTTATATTTATTATGTAATTACATCAGAATAATTTAAGAGTGGTACAGTATAAAATCTGTATTCAGATTTCCACAGTTGCCCCCAAAATGTTCTTTTATAGTATTTTTTCCTCTTAGAGCCAATCAAGAATTAAGACTTGTTGCCCTTGATTGTCGTGAACCTTTTGTCTAACCTCCATTTAAATAGATGACCACTGGGGCCAGCAGGTGGTGTGTGGTTGAAGATGCGGCACTACCACATGGCCAGCTGCAGTTCAAGTCTCAGACTTGGTGGCTTGCTTTCTCACTTCTCTCTCTCTCTCACTCTCACTCACTCACTCTGTCCCTCTCTGGTTTGTTTTATTTTTATATATACATATAAAGTTATATTTACTTATGTAATTATATATATATGTGTATATATATATATAAAGTTAAATAAAATTTTAAAATAAATAAATAGATGACTGTGAAACTAGATCTCCTGGTTAAACTCTTTTCTGAGGACTTAAATACAATAGACTTAAATATCCACCAAGTGTAATTAGTTAGACATTCCACTAGCAATTCCAAAATAACATGTTCAAAATGAGCTCAAGGGATCAGCAGATGGCAGAATGGTTACATCGCTGGACTCCCATGTAGTCGATCACAGTTCGCGTCCCGGGCCCAGCAGCTTAAAACTCAGGCCAGGCACATGTGCGTACGTGCTCAAAATCCTGAGAGGAGGCTGGAGGAGAAGAGACTGTGGCATGGCCATTCCCCCCGGGGGGATGACTTCTCATTTTCTGTCTCTATCTCTCTGGTGAGCACATGTGCCTGTAGCAAAATTCTCTCTTAAAAAAAAAAAAATAGAAAGAAAAGAGCTCAATGTCTTCTGTTCTCAAATCTATTTTTCTTTCTATACTCCTAGCTTAGTGAATAGGGCATCATTCCCTCTTTGAGAGTCCATGCTACTCACTTTGCCTAGAATTTACTTCTACCTCATCTATCTTGTCTACCTGTCCAGTCTTCAAGACCCAGGTTAAACTTTACTTCCTCTGGGAAAAGCCTGACCTTTTTTTTTTCCCCACGCAACATTAGATATATCTCCCATGGACAGGCTCCCTTAGTGTCCTGTATAGACACACCTATCCTATCAGCTATCACTTTGGATAGGAATTGTCGTTTTATGTACTTGCCTGCATTTTTTGAAGGTTTTTGTCATGAGACACATACGCTTGTCAGAAAGAGACAGAGAGGGAAAGTTAAAAATCACCCCAAGCGGGATGGCCACACCATCCCATTTCCTCTCTTCTTCTCCTAGGATTTTGGGCATACATGCACATGAGCCCGGTGTGATTTTCTTATTATTTTTTTAAAACGTAATTACTTATTTTATTTTATTTATTATTATTATTATTATTTTTCATTTGACCAGAGACAGACAGAGAGAGGGAGGGAAAGCAAGAAAGCAAAATGCCAGGTCTGGAACTTGAACCACAGTCAGCCATGTGGGAGTCCAGTGCCTCAGCCATCATGCCACCTGCTGGCCCCAGAGCCCAGTTTGATTTTCAAGCCACTAGATCTGGGATTTGAACTTCAGCAGCCGTGTGGGAGTCCATTACCTTAACCACCATGCCCAAATATTTAGACATAAGTGTTTTCTGTTCTAGGTCTAGTAACATATTACCCGACTTCTGAGTGCTTAATGAATTTTTTAAAAGAGGTTTTTGCCTTAGGACATGTGCATTCACTGTGGAGAGAGACAGACAGAAACAGTAAGAGGGATAGTCAGAAATCATCCCCTGGGGTGATGGACATGCCATAATCCCTTCTCCTCCATTTTTCTCCCAGGATCTTGGGCACACACAAACATGTGCCTGGTGTGAGTTTCAAGCCTCTGGGCCCGGGACTTGAACCATGGTTGGCCATGCAACTGCTACAGCATCTGCTGGCCCTGCTTAATGAATATTTATTGAATGCAGGATCTGCTTATAGATTATCAAGTAAATTAAAGATTTTTCAAAACTCAACTCAATTTGGTATGCATTCATTGAATTCCTACTATGTGCACAGGTTTGTACAAGTAGTAAGATTTATTTTCTTCCTCTAAGAAAGATCAGGAACCAACTGAAAAGATAAGCCCAGTACACTGGAAACTTAGTACTAAAAGGTGGGACCCGCAGTTAGCATAATGGATATGTCGCTGGACTCCCATGTAGTCGACCACAGTTTGAGTCCCGGACCCAGTGGCTTAAACTCACGCCAAGCGTGTGTGCGTGCGTGCCCATAATCCCAAGAGGAGAATGGAAGAGAAGGGATTGCGGCATGGCCATCCCCTCTTGGGGGGTGATTTCTTGCTTTCTGTCTCTCTGTCTCTCTGGCAAGTGCACATGCCCTGTATCAAAAACCTCACCAAAAAAAGAAAAAAATGAAAAGGTAATTTATTATCAGAGGAAGACGCAGACAATAACCACAGAAAGAGACAAGTTAGTGACTGTATTGAGTACTTACTGTATGCCAGTTACTTTTCTGTGTATTTGCAAATGTTTACTTCATTTAATCTCAACAACTTTTATTGTTTTAAAAACAAGGAATTAAAGTTAAATAAGTGGTGCAAGATCACAGAGCTAGTAAGTAGATTTGAACCCAACTCTGACTGACTCCAGAGATATACTCTTAAGTGTTCCAAAGGCAGTGAAGAGTTATAAAGTGGGAGTGGAAACTCAGGGAAAAAAATAATACCCATTTCTGAGACAATAATTAAATTACAGTATATCCCCACAATGAAAGGTCATACGATCATTGCAAAATCTGTGGTTGAAGATAATTTACTATCTTGTGATGATTTACTATCATAAATGTAAGTGTTTATGATGTAATTTGAAGTACTAATAAGTAGTTATAAAGTTACATTCCATTTTTAAAGAATGTACACACCCAGAGAAGACTGAAAGGAAACACAGGTAAGGGTTAGTAGTTATTCCCCTGTAGCTGTGGTATTTATGGACCACGTGAATATCCTCGTATAATCTGCATTTTCCAGATTATCTACAAGGAACACAGACTTTTATCATCAGAAAAGGGTCTTTTACAAAGTAAAGGACTAAAGTAAAAATAATCAAGCAGATCTTATTTAAAGTCTCAGAATTATGAAAGTGGAGAAGTTCATGTCGACCCTGCCTGCATCTGGGTACAGCTGGCCTTCTCCCAGATGACTGGTTCCTGTGCTAAGGTCGTCTCTCTAGGCCAGGCCACGCCCGCCTCACCACAGTTCTGCTGCACAGTAACCAGTGCAGAAGGAACTTGCTCTCTGTACTCTTTTTTTTTTTTAAAAAAAAAGATTTATTTGTTTAATTTTATTTACTCATTCAGTCATTTTCATTTGACCAGAGAAAGACAGATACACAGAGAGAAGGAAAGTGAGAAAGCAAGCCACCAGGTCCAGGATCCAAACCATGATTGGACATGTGGGAGTGTCCAGTACCTTAGCCACCATGCCACCTGTTAGCCCCTCTCTGTACTCTCTTATGAGGACCAAGTTATGAAAGGCACTCCCATGTCTTGTGAATATTTTCATTATAAGATTGTAAAGATTACTGTAAAGATTTTTCTAAAATAAGGGGCCAAATGTACCTCTCTAAAAGAAAAGAAAATGCAGTGCTCGGGTGTGGACTTAGATGGGACTGGATAAAAACATTGAGACAAATTGATAAATGTAGATATACAGGAGGAACCAGAAGGAGTAGGGAAGCATGGTAGTTCCATGTGTCCAAGTTCGCTTTCCTGTTGAAATAGTCAGTGCCTGTCTGGTGTGTCTTTGACTTGCCTCTGGGTGGCCGTTTCTCTAGACAGCTGAATGAATTGGAGTCCTGTTTTTTCTTATTGGGATTTAGTGCACTCTAGTGGATAGTAGCTTTTCTGTTTTCACATTTGTTCTCTAAATTGTGTCAAATTACCAAATTGGGCGATTCAATAATGTATTCATAGATAATAAAGTTTATTCATCTTTTTTTCGGGGGTGGGAGTGATTTTTGCTGTAGAGTTCATGCGCTTGCCAAAGAGACAGACAGAGAGAGAGACAGAAAGCAAGAAATCACCCCCGGGAGTGGGGAGTATAGCCACATTGCAATCCCTTCTCCTCCATTCCCCCTCTTGGGATCTCAGGCATGTGTGCACATGCGCCTGGCATGAGTTTTAAGTCACCAGATCTGGGACTCGAACCATGACCAACTACATGGAAGCCCAGTGATGTAACCATTACACCATCTGCCAGTCCCAAGTTTGTTCATGTTTATTTGACTTGAGTAGTGCCCCTAGTGAGCAGGAGTAACTTTGTCAGCCTTTGGGGCATTACACATGCATGTATGTTTCCCTAATAGGAAGAGAGAAGTTTTACGTAGTGTGGAAACTTTCTCGGTTTTCATCTTCTCTGTGGTGCCGTAAAGTTGGCGGGGAGGCCAATAGTGCAGGAGCTCTTGTAGTCTTCCTGTACCTCACAGTCTCCGGGTGAACATTTTACATTTCTATTTTAGGACTCGTGAGAACTTTTATGTACCACTTTGTGAAAATTTGGAATTTGTATAAACATTACTGTATCCTATCCTGACTGATTGTTTTTGAGATTGTGTTTTTCCATCATAAAAAAAAAGCAACCTTTTGTTTTTACAGAGTGATGGTGAGGATTTTAACTACATCATTGCATTTTTCCTTGGAACAGCAGCCTGCCTTTACCAGGTATGTTTTTCTCTTATTTATTTTTTTTTTAAGAACTACTTCTCCATATTTGTTTGTAACAGGTATCAATTCTAGTAATTACTTATGTGTTTTAAGTAAATAAAAATAATCTTTGAGTTCTTTGCCTCTCTTTTAATCTGAGCTTTTGTTAATTTTGTGACTCACATGTGTATGAGTAACCATCTTTCCCAGTGAACTCGATGTTAGTCTTTCTGCACCTGGGCTGCAGTGGTAGCTGCAGTCTGCCCGGAGTAAAGGCTACTTCTAAATGTTCTGGTGACTGACTGATTATTCATCTTCCAGCCTCTGCTTATGCTATAGGCTGAGGATTTTTATACTTTTGGAAAGGTCTTTGAATAGGAAGTGACACAGCAAAATCGGATTTTAGGCTATTTGATTGAACAGTAATGAACAGAATGGATTGTAAGGGCAGAGAAATTTGAAGCAAGGGACTTGGTTGAGAGGTGATTCTGCAACTGCAGGTGGAAGTGAGAGCCTGAACTGTGGTAATGCAGTAGGGAGGGGAAAACAGTCATTTAAAGGCTGGTTGGGCTGTGGAGACAGACCCGACTTGAAACTGGAGGAGGAAAACGGGTTTGCACCCATGTGATGTGGAGACTGGTACTCACACTTCCCAGGTCAGAGGAGCACAGATTTGTAGGGAAGAGAGGGGCAGGTAGGCCAGTTACCCAAGCTCAAGAATGACTTTGTCAAACATGTGAGAGTAAGCAAGACCTGTGGATCTAACTTTTGTAAGTAATACTTTTCTCAGGATTGCATAAGAGAATGTTAGATTTAGAACTGCAGATACAAAGCTACCTAAAATCCATTAGAAGTCTTTAATAAGAAGATATTTATGTATGTGTTTATATATATATATATATATATATATATATACACACACACACACACACACACACACACACACACACACAAATAAATATGAATGAATGACTTTGATGTAAGATGTGTTAGATATTTTAGTTTCAGTGACCCTATTTATAAAACTCTCTTGGAGGACCAGCAGTTGGTGTAATGGCTATGTCACTGTACTCTCATGTAGTGGACCGTGATTCGAGTCCCAGACCCGGTGGCTTAAAGGACTCAGTGGCTTAAACTCACACCAGGAGCATGTGTGTGTGCCCAGGATCCTGAGAGGAAAATGGAGAAGGGAGTGTGGCGTGGCCATCCCTCCTGGGGGGTGATTTCTCGCTTTTAGTCTCTGTCTCTCTCTGTCTTTCTGGCAAGTGCACATGCCCTATAGCAAAAGCCTCTCCAAACCCTCCCCCAAAACAAAAACAAAAACAAAAAAATCTTTCTTGATTTTTCTTAACTATTCATATTATCTTTAGAAATTTCTGGGGACCAGCAGTTGGCATATAGCTATGTTACTGGATTCCCATGTAGTCGCCCATGGTTGGAGTCCCGAACCTGGTAGCTTAAACTCATGCCGGATTCCATGTAGTCGCCCATGGTTGGAGTCCCAAACCCGGTAGCTTAAACTCATGCCGGGCACGTTTGCGTGCGTGCCCAAGATCCTGAGAGGAGAATGGAGGAAAAGGGATTGCAGCATGGCCATCCCCCTGGGGGGTGATTTCTTGCTTTCTGTCTCTCTGTCTTTCTGGTGAGCACACGCACCCTGTAGCAAAAACCTATCCCAAAAAAAAGAAATAAATTTCTGTCAATTTTGACAAATCTAATTATAATGAATGACATTTCATGCAAGAAATGTGAAAACTTGTATTTATTAATGTCACACAGTACTTTAATTTTAAGAAATATTCTTGCATACATTTTCTACTTTGGTTCATACAATCTTGTCACCCAAGGGAGATTATCTCATTTTTGAAAACAAGAAAACTGAGCAGTTTCAACAGCATCCTGAGATTACATAGCCAGAAAGTGATGGCGTCGGGCTGTGAGTCTGAGTCTTGATTTTGGATATCCTGCTCTGTCCACTGTCTCATGCTATTTCTAGGCAAAAATTCCTAATTTATATGATTTTATATAAATTATCATTTTATAACTGTATTCATAACCACATAAAGTCATGTAAACATTACCTTGAAGATAATCTTATGTGTAATTATAAGTAAACTCTGTTTCAGTAGCTTTGCTTTAATGAAGTCATTTTAAATGCTTAATAACAATGGCAGAATGTAGCGAGTCGTTACTTTGCACTAAGCCCTTTGTGTTCATTGTAGGTACCATTAAATCCTCACTAAAAGCCCCACACTGATCCTGTCCTCTCCACCGTCTCCCACTGAGGCTTAGACAGTTCTTATTGTCAGTGACTTGAACCCACACCTGTGTGACTCCAGTCGTGCCCCTGACCACTGGGCTGCATTTAGGCACGCCTTTGTTAGACTTCCCAGGACAGCTGAAGCAGTTCTAAGAGTGACCTCATGGTGGAGCAGTGCCATTCAGGTGTTCTCAGAGAAGTAAACAAATTCATGCTTTAGAAAAGAAAAGCAAAAACCTAATTTCCTTCAGTGACAGGCATGAAACTGCCTACTTTCCAAATATACTGAGCACTGTTTTTTCCACAGTAAAACATAAGCGATTACATTTCACCACACAACATGCTTTATCAGTTGTCAGGATGTTTAAAATCCCCATTAGTTGGGGACTGAAAGGTCACTACTCTGACTCGTTGCCTTTTTCCTCAGAATGCAGGAGCTTATGGAAGCTCAATGTGCTGCCAGATAGGCCTAGTCTAGATACGGACGTTCACATAGGCCAGAAAGCACAGGTCAGTGAAGAACTGGGAGACTAGTCCTTCTCTCTCAGCATTTCATTTGGAAAACGTTTAAATGTACAGAAGAGTTGCGAGGCTAGTACACCTAGAGTCATCAGTTCACATGCTGCAGCACTTCCTTTAGCTTATTGTCTCGTATATGTGTGTATTAATAATGCGTATATCGTCATTTGTAAAGTAAGTTTCTGACACTTATGTATATTAGTTTTTATTTTTTCAAAGAATTATTTAATTTTACTACTTTTTAAATTTGCTGTAGGAAATGTGTGCTTGTCAGAGAGAGAGAGAGAGACTCATATATACGCAGAGAGAAAGAGAGAGGGAAAGTGAGAAAGCAACCCACCAGATCCAGGACTTAAACCGCAGTTGGCCATGTGGGAATCCAGTGCCTTAACCATCACCTGCTGGCCCCTACAGTTGTTTTATTTTATTTTATTCTGAGATATTGTACATATCTATGGCATCATAACAAGATTTTATGTACTCTTTACCTGGTTTCCCCCAATGGTACTGTTTTTCAAAACTGTAAAACAGTATCACAGCCAGCATGTTGATACTGATGAAGTCAAGACACAGAACATTCTGTCACCACAAGGATCCGTGTTTCATTTCTACAACCACATCTGCCTCCCATCTCCCCTAACCTCTCCATATGCCCCGATAATCACAAATGTGTTCTCTATTTGTATAATGTTCTCATTTTACATAAATACTATATAAATAAAATTGTGCTGTCTTGTCAGTTCGGGCTGCTTTAACAGAGTACTACAGGTTAGGTGCATGAACAACAGATACTTATTTCTAACAATTCTGGAGGCTGGTAAGTCCAAAACTAGGATACCAACAGATTCAGTTCTCAGCAAGGGCCCTCTTCCTCTCCTTGATGTACCCTCACGAGCAGAGATGGGACATGCCAATGCCTCTTCCTCTTCTCATAAGAGAAAACCCCCATTATGGAAGTTCTACCCTCATGACCGCATCTAAACCTAATTACCTCTCAAAGGCTGATTCCATCACATTGGTGGTTAGGGCTTCAACATGCGCATATGGGGGGACAGAGACATTTCCGTTTATAGCAGTAACTTTTTGTTACTGGCTTTTCTGTTTTTTTCTTCCTATAGGAAGAAAAAAAATATAAAACATAAAAAACAAAAACAAACAAAAAACGTAAGATTGAGTCCACATCACAATTCCTTCTCCTCCATTCTCCTCTTGGAATTTTAGGCATGCTCACTCAAACCTGACCGGCGTGAGTTTCAAGCTGCCAGGTCTAGGACTTGAATTGCATTCAGCCATGTGGAAGTCCAGTACCTTAACCACTATACCACCTGCTGGTCTCATCTTTTCATTCTCTTAGCAGGGTCTTTTGCAAAATAATTTTTTTTTGTTCTGATAAAGTTCAGTTAATTAACTTTTCCTCTTATCAGTCATGATTGTGGTAGCAAGTCTAAGAACTCTGCCTAACCTCAGATCCTGAGATTTTCTCCTATGTCTTTTCTGAACATTTTATAGTTTTATGTTGTACATGTAAGTTCACAATCCATTTTGAGTTCATTTTTGTTTAAAATGTGAGACTTAGATGTCGTAAGTTGAGGTTTTTTGTTTCTTGTTGCCCCAGTACAATTTGTTGAGAAGCCAGGGTTTTCTCCATCGAATTGCCTTTGCACCTTTGTCAACACTGATTGGTTCTGTTCGTGTGGGACTGTTTCTGGGTTCTGTATTCTGTTCTATTGATTTAAATATCTGTCCCTCCACCAGAACCACTTAGTCTTATTACTATAGCTATAGAGTAAGTTACAGTTATAGACAGGACTTAGAGTTAAGGACAGGACTATTCAAATTATATTTAATTTGGAGTAAATTCTAGAAGTTCGTGCTTTTTTGAGGAAGCGGTCTATTTCACCTAAGTTATTCATTGGCATTTCTGGCTGCCAACTTCATCTCCAAGTCTGGGATATATGAGATAAAAAGAAAACTCAGGCAAGTTACCATTGTGTCCTTCCTTGGGTCTCAAGGGTCTTAGCTCTCTGCCTCTTCTCTCTACTGTTCAGGGTCTTCTTATGCTACTTTTACTTATATATTTATATAGATAGATCGATAGGTAGTCCAGGGTTTCTAGTTGTATTTAGAGGGAGGAATAGAAGACCTGTCTTCTTCGTCTTCCTAAGAAGAAAATGACAACTAGATGCCATGTAGAATCCTGATTGACTTCTGACCAGAAAAAGGACGCTAGTAGGATGACCGATAGCATCTGAGTAAAGCTTGTGGCTTAGCTAGTGGTTTTTAGTGAGCGTTAATGTCCTGGTTTGATGATTGTGCTGTGTGGTTCATAAATGGGTAGCATTAGAGGAAGCGAGGTGAAGAGTATACAGGAACTTTGTTTCTGTAACTTTTTTCTTAAGTCCAAAGTTATTTTAAAAGAAAACCATTTTATTTTTACCTTTTTTTTCAACTTCCTATTCCACAGTGAAAATCACTCAGATAAAATAAATGCTTTTGATTCATTTCGTTTGTGTAGTAGTCTTATTTTTAAATAAGAGTCCTAATTTATATAAGAATTAAACATACTTAACAAAAGAAATACTTTAATGTCCTTCCCATTCTGAAGTCTAGACACAACTTCACACAGAGATCTACTTTTCTTAATTCTTGTGATCACAGGAAAAAAAAAGACTTGTGATCACATATATTTCTGTCTTGTGATCACAGAAAAAAAAAAAAGACTTGTGATCACATATATTTCTTATTCTTATGAGGCTATGAATGTTAGACCTCTTCTAGGAAATGGATCATTCATTCAACCAATTTTATTGAGCACTTATTATATGCCAGATACTCTTCTGGGCACTGGAGTTAAATGAATGAACAAAACAATCAGAAATTTCATCCCTTATGAGACTTGGATTCTATTAGAAAACTGCAGATGACAAAATAAGCATATTTTTCAAGTACGATTGTAGTATATTGTGGAGTAAAATAAAACAGGGAAGGATGAATTCAGGGAATGAGGGGGCAGCACTTTCTTTATGTCTCATCTAAAATAGTACTCCTGTCATTCTCTATCCTATTTGTCTGCTTTATCTCTTCCAGGACATGTTATCTTGTATATTTAAAAATGTTTACAATCCCTCCTCACTAGAAAGAAAGCTCCATGTGAGCAACGGCTTTGTGTGTGCTGTGCTCGTAACTGAAGAACAGTGTTCTGACACGTAGCAGCCCTCAACGAGTCCGCGCTGCGTGGAGTCTCCCCACAGTGTGCTCACGCTGGCCTAGCCCAGTCCCTGGCACTCTGTGGCAGACCAGTATAACTGGAATCACCTCAAGCTGATTTTCAACTCTGGTTCAAATGAACACCCAGACTTTTTATTTTAATACTCACTTAGGTTATATGAGTCCATGTTTTCTTTCAGCTTATGTATTTATTTCCTTTATAAGCAAGGAGAGGCGGGCAGGAGTAGGAGATAGGAACAGGCACCCCCAGGGTCTTCGTGCTGTGACCCATCCCCAGCTTCACGCAGCACCGGATCGTGGACACAGGTGCAGCTCTCCAGAGTTCAGGGAGCTCTTCACAGATGTGAGCCTTCCATGTGGGCCAGCCTTTCCTCTGCGCCACCAGCTAGCCTCACAAGTCCACTATTACTTAATGGCTTGTGTGAACTCTTTTTACTTTTCTGGGTGACATTGAACCCCCGTAGGCCCTGGGAATGCTTTCCAGTTGCCTTTCACCTTGGGAAATTTGTCCAGCCTGTTTCAAGGGAGTCATTCAGTTGACTTCCATTTAAAGTATGACACAAAAATACTTTCTTTTGAAAGATGAACAGCATAAAGGGAAAAATCTATTTCTCTTTCAGGCTGTGGAACTTTTTTTTTTTTTTTTGAGGGAGAGATATTTTGCTATATGATGTGTGTGCTCATTGGAGAGAAAGAGACAGAGAGACAGAAAGCGAGAAATCACCCCCCCCCCAAGGGGAATGGCCACACTGCAATCCCCTCTCCTCCATTCTCCTTTTGGGATTTTGGGCATGCACGCACATGTGTCTGGTATGAATTTGAAGCCGCCGGATCTGGGACTCGAACCACGGTTGGCCATGTGGGAGTCCAGTGACATAGCCATCATCTGCCAGTCCCTCAGGCTGTGGAACAGTCATAGCTGAATGAATGTCTTAGTTAGGTTATGTTATCTTATCCCTAGATGAAGAAGGACTTTACTCCCTTCTCGTATTTTACTTTCTGACTGATTCTAGGTTTAGTTTAGAAACAATTATTTCTTTGCCTGTAATCCTACTCATCTTACCTTTTTATATTTTGAACAGTGTTATTTACTCGTCTACTACACTGGCTGGCGGAATGTCAAATCTTTTTTGACTCTTGGCTTAATCTGTCTATGCAACATGTATCTCTATGAACTGCGCAACCTCTGGCAGCTTTTCTTTCATGTGACCGTGGGAGCGTTTGTTACACTCCAGATTTGGCTGAGGCAAGCCCAGGGCAAGGCTCCTGACTATGACGTCTGACGCCATCCTGCGGATGGACTGCCTTTTCTCCAGGGGAAAAGGAGGACCGTGTCATAACTGCCACTGTGATGAAGAAACTGTTCCCCACGAACGAGCAGCTCTGCTTGCTTTCTCTCCAACTTTCCTTTTTTGATATCAGCATGGCATGCCTGTGAGCATGCCAGACCTGCTAGGAAAACTCCTGTCCGGTGGATATCGGCCATGAGATGCTGGCATTCCGAGGAGGAAGAGGAGACTTCTCTCTTCAGGGCCACAGAGTGGAGGAACTGACCAGTGCCACTGGAAGACCTGGCCAGCAGTCCTGCATCCCTGCTGAGGAGTCCAATCAAACATCGATGTGGCACTTGCTCTGAGGACTCAACAGGAACTTGACCACCTGAATTTGCCTTTGGGAGGCACTAGGGTATAGACCAAATACATATTTTGATGCTGCAGAAATTGGAAAGTTTATGTTTCTAACAAATGACTGTGCTAAATAGCTGATTATTTGCACATTTTTGGTACCAAGAGTTTATGGAGCCTGGGATGGTGTGGAATTGGTTCTTTTACTTAGATATTTTAATCATCTGATGTAGGAAAAGGCTGTGGTGAGCGCATCTCTGGAACATCACAAGTACTGAAAATACAGTGACGTGTGTTTCCTTTCCAGGACGTGTGTTTGTCGTTTATTTTGAGATCACTTTAAAATTGTATGATTTGTTAGGCTATAGCCACTGTTTGCCAAACTTCAGTCACTGGAGTGCCACACAAACTATTATTTCTTAATATCTATCTTTTAATTTTTAAAGTATTTTTAAAAAGAATTAAATCTCACTTCCCATGGAAAAATCAGTGTCAGTTTACCATAAATAGAAAGAAACCACAAAAGTAATGAAATGACGTTAAGTTCCATCTAGATACTAAGGCCCTGCCAAGGCCCTCATCTAAGAGACCTGCTCTTTGTGGCAGTGAGAGCGGTATTACCCAGAACCAAAGTGAGGCTCTCCGTGTGGAGTCATCAGGATAAAAGAGAAGTGCGAGCAGAACGACATCCTTGCTGTGACTCAGTGGCCTTAATTCTGTGTTGTGCAGCACCCACAACCACCTGTGCACCCCTCGTGGTCTGGGTCCTGCACTGCAGAAACACTGGACCGTTCTAAGAGAATCAGAGGTGGCTTTCCTGGCAACTCTTATTATTTGCGACTTTGAGGAGTCAAGCACCTAGTATCAGAGAACTTATTTTTTAATGACAGTATGAAGATTATTTAAGCAGTTATGAATTAATAATATAGGAAACACAGTTCGATTCCATTCAAGAATCCTGTAACTTTCCTGGTTTTGGAAGTCATCTTCATGAGTGATTTTCCTTTGTTTTTCTTTTTTTTGTTTTTTTTTTTTAAGGAAAGATTTGAGTAAAGAATTCATTGGATACTGAAATTCAGTATTATCTAGAAAAACAGTGGGCCCCATTACATTGTAATTCATTTTACTGGGTATATTTCTTAAATAGAAGAAAGTCTGTAGGCTAAAGTTATTGAACTGCCTTGTTTGTCTGAACCTGTAGGTGTGTCTAGAAGGTATGTAGTAAAATCTGACGTAGTAGAACCTTTGCATAAGGGAGAATGAAGTAAAACGAAGACTACAATATTATAGTCTTACAAAAGTCAGCCTACAATATTGGATTTGTCTAAAACAAGAAACCCTCATTCGCTCCAGTCTTCTCCCTTTCACAAGGCTACACGGAGATCAGATATATTCTGAGAGATATACCATGTCATCATATTCCAAATCATCAAAACAACATTGAATTATGTTTCGCACTTTGTACTTGTTGAGCCAAGAAAGTGAAGTGGTTCAGTTTAGAAAGGTGTTTTAAACTGATGGTTAAAAGAGTTTTCTTGTAAATAGTCCATTAACCAGAAAGTCGGTGTGCTTTGGTTGATTGTGATTTTGCTATGTATTGACATTTTACAACCCTTACCAACTGGGTTCAGGAATTGCCTCCATATCATTGATTGATGAGTTATGTCTGGTATTTGGATCCATTCAACAAGAACACTTGACGCTTTACCAGCTTTTTTTTTTTTTTTTTTGAGAGGTTTTTGCTATAGGGCACGTGTACTCGCCAGACAGAGAGAGACAGAGAGACAGAAAGCGAGAAATCACCCCCCCAGGGGGGATGGCCACGCTGCAATCCCTTTTCCTCCATTCTCCTCTAGGAATCTTGGGCACGCACGCACATGCGCCCGGCGTGAGTTTTTTGGTTTTTTTTTTTCGAGAGGTTTTTTCACTATAGGGCGCGTGCGCTCGCCAGATAGAGACACAGAGACAGAAAGCGAGGAATCACCCCCCCAGGGGGGATGGTCACGCTACAATCCCTTCTCCTCCATTCTCCTCTCGGGATCTTGGGCACACACGCACACGCGCCCAGCGTGAGTTTTAAGCCACCGGGTCCGGGATGCGAACCGCTGTCGACTACGTGGGAGTCCAGCGACATAGCCATTACGCTAACTGCTGGTTCCCGGGATGTGTTTGTTCTTGATAAAGGCAAGGATTGGCTTCTGAAATCAGAGAGGGGAGGCCTGTTACTGGAGTATTTTAATTTAGGTAATTCTGAAATACCACGCTTTGATTAAGATGGACCCTGAGAACAGAGACACTCTCTTGTGCATACAAAAGGTGGTTATAATCCTTACTTCCTTTTTTGGTCTATATTTGGAATGTATTATACTTGACCACTTTACTAACAGAATTTGAAGCAGCATACCAAGAAAAGACATATATAATGATGTTAATAAAATATGACAGAAAGAGGAGGAAAACAAGGTCAATGAAAATGGAAAGAAGGGTTAACACATTGCCACGAATTTGTGTAAAATTTGTATAAAAAAATGTGACCGAGGAACTTCCTGGAATTTGCAGCTAGAAGACGGGGGGCAAGTTATTCATTGCCCTATCAATAAGTCTGAAGTACACCCGTTCCCTGGGTGAGACCTTTTCCTGATGAGTTCTGGGGGAATGTTCTAACTCGGGGGTCCTATGGAAGGCTAGATGAACACAGTGCTTGATTCTGACACACTTCTGCATATTATGATTATACCTCGGATCCTCAAGTTATATCAGTTTATAAAAGCTTCCATTTTAGGTAGTTGGTTTTTCTTTCTTTTCTCTATTCTTTGTCATTGTTGCAGGAAATGGTTAATAGAGAATTTTTATGCCATAAGTAAGAATTCTTATTCTAAGTTAAAAACAAGTATCTGTTGAAACTTAAAAATTTGCTCAAGACCAATGACTTGAGACCTGGAGAAACTCAACTCAGTTTTGTAATTTTATAATTTCTATAAAGTGAATGTGCCGTTTCTAGATGAGCTTCTTTATTTTGTGTTAAATGTAGTCTTTTCCACAGTGGAGGCTGGTCTGGAGAAATGCATGGGTCCATTTCTGTTAGCCATGTGTGGAATCTCTTTTGCTTGGTCAAGGCTCCACAGAGACCAGAGATTTGTCATATGAGACTTGACTTCCATGTCACAGAGAAGGTGACTCCTCAGTGCTCCTGAGATTACTGCCCCACCAAACCCTCCAAGGCCATTGCCTGGCCTTTATTCCAAAAGGTTCACTGAGCAACCCAAGGATGCACTGCCACCTGGCAAATTTCCAAGAAGGTACAGCAGTGTGTGTGTGTGTGTGTGTGTTTCCCTTGTTATTGCTATTTTAACTGAGTTTGGCTCACTTTAAGAGTTAGAGCTACTACGGAGCATGTGGCAAAGAACAAATAAATTACCTCAAAAGCAGCTTCTACTTAGACCGAATTGAACACTTAGCCTTACCACAAATTGCAGGTCACTCTTCAGGGCGGCATTCTTTGTCTATGGTCATGTATCTAAGAAGTATTTTCCTGCTTTATTATTTCTTAAGGAAACGGAGACTTTCTACCTCAAAATATTGTGTAAAATAGTGCTTACTTAATTTTTTAAGAGAGCTTTTCTTTTTAACAATTATTTAATTTTTATTTATTCATTCATTTATTTAAATTTAACCAGAGAGAGAGAGACTGGGGATGTGAGTAAAGTGAGAAAGCAAGCCACCAGATCCGGGACTCGAACCGTGGTCAGATATGTGGGAATGTCTAGTGCCTTAACCACCATGCCACCTGCTGGCCCCAAGAGTTTTTTTTGCTATAGGGCACGTGTGCTCAGCAGAGAGATAGAGAGAGAAAGACAGAAAGCGAGAAATCACCTCTCCCCCCACCCAGGGGGGGATGGCCACACTGCAGTCCCTCCTCTTCAATTCTCCTCTCGGGATTTTGGGCATGCACACACGCACCCTGGCATGCGTTTCAAGCCACCAGATCTTAGACTCGAATCACTGTCGACTACATGGGAGTCCAGTGACCTTTATGCCATCTGCTGGTCCCTTATTTTTGTTTAAAGTTGTTTTTTAGTAATATTCTAGCTAAAAGCTAATGTCCAAGGAGCCAGCAGGTGGTGAGGGGTTAAGGTGTTGGACTCACATGGCTGACCGTGGTTCAGGTTCCAGACCTGGCAGCTTCTCTCCACCTCTCTGGTCAAATTAAAAAATAAGAATAAAGAATAAAATTAAATATTTCTTTTTAAAAAGTTAATTCCCCAAATCCTGAGTGGAGAATGGAAGAGATGGGCTTGTGACATGGTCATCTCCCCTGGGGGGGGTAGTTTCTCACCTTTCTTCTCTCTCTCTCTTCAGAGACCACACGTGCCCTATGGCGAAAAGCTAAAGAAAGGAAAAAGAGTTCCTAGAAGAAACCCCTCCAATCCCGAGGGTTGGGAATGAGTGTGTGGAGGGGCGGAGTGGGCTGAGAACGAGGCCGCCCTGGCACTGCTCAGTGGGTGGAGGCGTCCGGCCATCCTGCCTTGGGCTGCTGCTGAATGCTGGCAGATTTAAACACGGCGATTTTCAAAGACGAGCTGCTCCTGGAGTGGCCAAGCGAAAAGGTTCTGGTTACTTCGCCGATGAAATGAAGGTCCACGGCGCCCCACCGTGGGATTGGAAGCCATGTGCTCTGTACCCTCCTGCTTGCTCTCCCTGAGCGGTGTTGACACGCGGGCTCACAGGCTTCTGCCCCGTCCGTGCTGGAGTGGAATCCGTCGTGTCTGTACAGAGAGGTGGCCGGGAGCTCGGAGAGAACAGCCCTCGTCGCAGAGAGGTCCTGGAACCAGTACCCTGGCCCTGTGACCCGTTCCCTGCGTTTCCTTGGCAACAAACAGTATCTTCAGCCCGGCCTCCCCCACAGTTCACATTGGCCCTTTTCTCCCGCATCCTACAGCACAGGATGCACGTGGCCCCGGCCAAAGCATAGGCCCCGTCTGACAGGAGGGACAGGATCCCACACCCGGTCCCCATTTAGTCCTGGTGTCCCCTGCCCAGCTCTGCCTCTTACTTGCCTTCTTCGTGCCATGCTTTGCTTGTGGGCAGGGCTAGGGCCCCCCGCTACATATTCGTTCTCATGGGGCCTAAGGGGCACACTAGCTCATCTTCACTTGAAACTAAGACTTAGGGCAGGGACTTGTCACACACACTTATTTTTTTAAACATTTTTGTAGGACAGCGCTTACTTGCCAGAGAGACAAGGTTGGGGGGAGCACCCTTACAGGGCGTGGTCACACTACAATCCCTTCATCTCTCTTTGTG